AAAAAGTAAGTATAGATAATTTATTGTTCGCATAAATTATAAAATTTTTTGTAAATATATGTAAAAATTATTGTATGCAGCGTTGTCAAACAAAGTCTAAAGCACTTAGATTTTACACATTTTTCAAGTTTGGCCTGGTGATATTTTTTACTAAATTGGACTTCCAAACTTTTTAACTTTAATAATTAAATCCTAATTAGAAGTAATGAAATTAAAATATACAATATTTTTGAGGGCTTAACTTACAATATTTGTGAAGTTCTAAAATTTAAATACTTTTAGATGTTGGAGGGGTAAGTATAATTTATTAATGTTTCACTTTTTAGATATTTTTCAAAGTTGATAATATCATATCGACATGCGTTCTGGTTTTATTACTGAAATGATATGTATCGACTATCGAGATTTTTTGAGTATCGTTTCAAATTTATTGCTATAAATATATTTTTTTATAAATTAAATATCAAATTTTAAAATAAAATAAGAATACTAATGTTTAAAACTAGCATATTTCTATAAATTGAAAACAAATTTAAAATGATCATTTTTAATTCATCAACTTCTAATATATGTATATTTTTCATCTATCCACTTTAAGTTAAGGGACAAAAAATGTATATATTTAGAAGAATTTAATAGAGTAATTGATAGAAGGACTAAAAAAATACATTTTTTATAGTTGATGGACTAAAAAAATATATAAAAAAGTTAAATGATGAAAATTGTATATAACACTAAAGTTGAGGAAAAAAATGAAATTTATCATTTTTAAATTTGAATTGAGTAGTACCAACGTAAATGTTAAAATATCGGTCAGTACACCAAAATGTAACCAAAATGAACTAAATTTGACCAAAATAAAATTGCCCCATCTATCGCTTCGATTTAATATAAAAATCGATATGTACCAGCTGTATTGGTCGGTACAATACGGTAACAATAATAACTATGATATTTCTGTAGATTTCTCAAAAATTTTCAATACATGGAGAATACTCTTTTGTTTTATTAAGTCCCAAATTTTTTGAGTACTTTTAATTTTT